GCAAAATGAACGCTTCGACTGAACCTTTTCTGAGAAGTATGGATGCATCTAATGAAGACGCTCATAGATAAGTAGGTACCAAATCCTTGAATTTTTGAGAATCAGAGTACGATAGATTACCTATTATATGACGTTGATTTCAACAAGATAAGTACCGTACAAATACCATTTTGGGCATTGTATAAAGTGGGTACCCAGCTACACGAACACCTTTCCAAGTTGAGCCCACTAAAATCGGGCCCTTAATCTTTTTAAAATTAACCTTAAACACGAACAAAGCTCCAAAAAGCTTTTGGTACACAAAAGAAATCAATAACACGTAAAGAGGTCACCCTTTTCGTGAGAATGGCTAAGCACTGAGACCATATCAAGAGAAATCAATTATAAGCACACGAATACACAGTATGAATAAATTGCGCTTACGATTATGCGTACGATATAATGCAGTGCAGTTCTTGACAAGTCACGACTTATTCAATTCAGATTAAACTTTGAATGAGTTAGATCTTTATTGGGCAACCAAGGTATGAATAATAGGCTTATTCAGAGCACGCGGCGCAACGGCACCGAGACGTGCCTTAAATGAAATAATACTGCCAACTTGTGTATGTGAGTACTTAAGCAGTTACTGAACAAACCTTTTGCCGTGTATTTTATTTAATTGTTAATTGTATGTAATGAACAAACGACTGCTGCTTTGCTAATAACTTGATCACAGTTAAGTTTGCCTTAACTGACTTTTTTCATAATGATTTATGAATTTCATTACCAAGTAGACATCTGACAAGAGTATTAGCAACAGGTTTGTGTGGTGTAGGTGTCAACAAGCTTTTGTCGTTGGTGTGTAAAAAACGACACTGAATATAAAATCGGGGCTACGACAAAAAGTATAAAGAGAGCTCGCTAAAAAAGAAACCAACAAAATCGATATCTGCGGGACGTTGAATTATGGTAGGTATGATGTCAACGTTTTAAACGGAGTTTACATTGCTTGTTTTACAGCGCAAATTTGTTTAACCCTTATACGAGACTTTCTATGACAAATTTTACCAAAAGCACATAAGGATTTCTACAATGCTAAGCTACAGTGAACTTTAAGTTTGCGAAATACGAACTCTACATTAAATGCTAATTAATTTTAACTGATAAAACATAGAAAGTTCGCGACCTCGTGAACAAAGTTGTCATTGCATTTTCGTCCTTGACTTTTAATTATATCTAGCGACCTGTCGGTTCATTATCCGGTGACGTCAGCAGCAGTGAGTGGTCAAGCGAACCAGTCGGGCGGGTGCCACAGGTGTTGCCGGTTCGGTGCAACTTGAGGCGGGAGCTGAGATACGAGTATACTTCTTTTATACATGGCTACCTGATGGCTTAGGTTACCGGCAAGCAAAACATATTTTGGCATGGAAAGAGGCTCCTTTTTAGGTTAAGTACTTTAAATGTCCCACAAACTGCACGAATTGATTTTTAAGACGAGAGTGAATATGCATTTTCTGCGGTCAAATACATGCCTTTTGCCAAAAAAAAGTTTGACCAATTTAACCCTTAACCTGCTAGCTGTAGAAATGTGTGTAAAATGCCTAAACATTACTGTAATTCTCTGGAACCACTTCAAAATACAGATCTGAACATCCCAACAGGCTACCTATAAATAATGAATGCCTAATTTAGTAATTAAACAGCAAGCTAAGAGTGCAACTGCAATTAGACCACGTAATACAATGGCACAGGTGTTTGTCGCGTGCCCTCCCAGCTGCCCGCTGACATTTTAAAACTATTTGTCCTCTCAAGAATGCAATGCTGACTCGAACTAAGCCGGCGGAACATGCCTGGGCCAAGATGTAGTAATACACAAGTATTTTATTTACTCTGAAGCTGTACTTAAAGGACGTAACCACTCACTTCCTTTAAGGACCACTAAATTAAATATGCAAACTGCAGTCCTAGATTTACAGCTTATTTGGTTATTTTAACATTTATAGAATGTAAGTAATAATTTAAATCTTGGCATTTATGGTAACTAAGTAATATTTTTATTACACTGTGGTACTTACATAAGTTAAGTACTTTTAAAACATGTTTGATAGGCGAGACATTTCATAACCAAATAAATTGTACTAAATCCTGAAAAGGAAAATATTGAAGTTATTTCACAAATGAACTAAAATATTACACGTTATCTGCAGAGCAAAAAATCTCGTCCGAACAATAAATTCATAAGGACGTGAATAATAAACTGCCATCGTTTAATTTAAACCAAAACTGACTTCGACAAAAACCTCACTTACATTCGGTTCCCACGATAGCTGAGGCAGATAATACTTTATCTTCAAAGGCCTTCTCAAATAAAGTGAACAATTTGCCAAAGGCTCGGGCGTGATATACGCATGCAAGAAAATGCAAATTAGAAACGAATTCCACTGTGCAATCGCTGTCGAAACTGCTATCGTGGTAATTAACTTATGACTTTAACCGCATTCGGTTTTTCTATTATTACCCCATGTCTATCAAAAATCTGGATTAAGAAACTATTTTTCATGTTTGTATCGGTAGGTATTGGTAATATACAATTTACGATATAATTAAAGCAAATAACTGTACATAAAAAGAACAATATCATGTCAGCATAGTTCAAATTCAATGTAAAGTCAGTCAGGACTCAGAAAGGTAGTGTGGTAGGTATAATGAGTAATTTTGGTAATTAACTCATGGACTACGAATGTTTTTCGTTGTGTATTGTATTGTATTAATAACACGTAGCATAAGCAGGTTCTTGTTTTGCAGTGTTTGAATATCGCATTTTGTGGTGTANAATAAACAAAGCAAGTAGTGAATTGCTAATATACAATAATATACAATAAACAAAGCAAGTAGTGAATTGCTAATATGTATGTATACAATAATATACAATAAACAAAGCAAGTAGTGAATTGCTAATATGGAATAATAAACAAACTTCATTTATATTCACGTAATAACGAACTCGGAGATTATTATTAGCACCAAGTATCAGTGTGTTATTAAATCAAGTATCAGTGTATTATTAAAGGGTTTTAGTACAAAGTATCAGTCTGAGTTCCATACAACGACACGAGACAAGATAATAATTTATTGTCACGTAGAAAATATTCAAAAATGAAAGTTGTGAAATTCATAAGTGGTCTTAGTATATCTATCCTCCTGGTATCGTTGTGTGTTTGAGTTTCATGTAATAATTGCACCATAATAATAATATAGATTTATTATGGTATCTGAAAANCATCTATCCTCCTGGTATCGTTGTGTGTTTGAGTTTCATGAAATAATTGCACCATAATATAGGTTTGTTATGGTGGCTGAAAATGATAGATTTATTATAGTAAAGTATATAGATTTATTTATTTACTTTAAATGCAAGTGAGCTTAGAGATAAATCCTAAGCGCTCACATTGTCAATTTGAAATTACGTATTCATTTAATTAATTGCACACTAAGGGTTTAAAAAGGTCTTAAAACTAAATCTGTACAAACATCAAATATTAGTAAGTACTTACTCATATCTATTTAAGGTTAGCAGACAAAAAAATATCATAATTTATTACAAAGTACCTACTCCAAGGAACTGACATGACCCGATATAAGATAATATTTTAAACCTTCATGATATTATGATGATTTCCCGTCAAAAAAAAATTGAAGTATTGTATCAGTAAAAAAAAACTAGGCAAGTTGTGAATTGTCAGAGACAAGCTATGAACCGTCAAAAAAAATAAAACAATATCTCACACAGCACAAACAGCTGTTTTTGTTGGTCTCGGTTTTCTTTTTGAAATTGTGATGTGATGATTTATGATTGATGAAGAGATGTGGTAACCATTAAATTTGACGTAGCCTAGAATATCTATTATAAAAAAAAGGACGTGACTTCCATCGAAAACATTTACAAGGTACCTACAGTACTGTATCACGCGCACAAGTGATAGGTTGTCAACTGATCTCTGTCAAATTAGAAGTAATAATGGTAGACGTCAGCAGTGTGACGGTGAGCCAGTGAATCGTGCATACGGCACTCATAAGGTGGTATACAAGTACAGCGTGCCCATAATCATCAATTTCTCTACATTGCAACCAATCTGTGCCTGATTCTGAAAACAATTAAGAATCAGTATTGTCAGACAAACAAAAAAATAAAAATAAAATAAATGTCNTCAGTGAATCGTGCATACGGCACTCATAAAGGTGATATACAAGTACAGCGTGTCCATAATCATCAATTTCTCGACATTGCAACCAATCTGTGCTTGATTCTGAAAACAACTAAGAATCAGTATTGTCAGACAAACCAAAAAAAAAAAAAAAAATGTCGTTTACCTACTTAGGTCCCACTAAAAAAGAAACTAATCGGTACACCTGTTTACTGTGTCAAATGTGAACTAGAGGACGGTACACAATTAAAGTCGTACCTACTCCATTTTGAGAAGTCAAACCAAATTGTTTATGCAGTTGACACAGCGCTGTATCGTTGGTCAGATGTAGATATTATAGCGTCTGACAAATATGGTGATTGCATTGAATTTTAAGACATCAAATTATTATTCTTCTTGTTGCGTCCACAACAAAGCTATACAGTGTCAACCCAAAACTCCGCTTCAAGAGTAGTGTTGTCAATAGCATACATTAAATCTTCCCGCGTGCAGTTGATTGGGCACGCAGGGCACGACATCATGTGGTCCATCGACTGGAGAACACAACCACATTTTCACTCCAAGTTTGATCACCATCCAGGAATCTTATTTATCCGATGGGAAGTTATTCCTTGGCACTTTGCCGTATTCCTTGAGTTTACGTATGCAACATCTTCACATCACAGCATTTTGTCACAGTCACAGCACAAATACATTTCACGATTTTTCAAGAAAGAAAGAAAAGCGTTGTAACTTTAATAACACGTTTAAAGCTGGCAAGCAACTAAATCGCTGATATTGTATAGATCATACCTACCTAAGTAGTGNTATCACCAATCAGTCACCAAGGGTACATTATCAAAGGTACAAAGACGTATAAAAGGCAGGATTGTAATAGTCATTTTGTATAGCCAGGGATAAAGCCGATATTATATTAATATATAATATATAATAGATGGCTAATGCCATCATGTGGAACGATTATAAACAAGCGATTTTCATCACAATAACTATTATCGAAAAATGGCAGTTGTTCCTTGGCACTGATGTTCGTTTTGTATATTGAAAAATACAACTGATAACCACTTAGTAGCAGGGGTGCGATAATCACTAGCATGCACAAAATGATTAATTATCGACCGGTGCTAATAAATAATCAACGTTGTAAATCAAAATTGCTAGTCGTGGAAGGACGTGATATATGTGGGAATAAAAAAGGGGTGGAAATTAATGGTGAAATGTTTGTATAATATATATTATAGCGATTGGAAAGGAAATCGTTAACTTAGATAGACAATATTTTACAGTTATTTTGACTAATAACTACACTACTGAATCAACTTTGATGAAAATGAATGTTTTGAGATAGGTACATACCTCTTCGCTCAGTAACCACTTGAAACTAGCGTTGTAGTGCTACGCACTGCGGCATTATGCTGAGTGGAAGCCCTTTTTGGCATTATTACCAAATTAATTTATACGCTGTCCAAATTTGTAATTTGCTGGTTTAATGTGCCAAATAAATATACCTATATTATTTCATCTTACGAATAAAGAAGTCAATTAAATTAAGTCAAATCTAATCAAATATTTTATTTAGCAGAACCAATGTCAGGATAATACGGGTGTCCAGTATCTGAGTCAGTTTCAATAATAATGTTCTACCGCGGATGGTACCGTTAGACATATTATAATATACAGACAAACTATACAGACATTCGTACACTTAGCCTAATAAAACAAAAATATATACCTATCCTATGTGAATATTATGTTGCTATGCCAATAATACAATATTACATTATAACGAAAAAAAGATTGCTGTTCATTTAATTTTTCCCTGCTAAAATTTGAGAACGGCTGCACCGATTTGGATGCTTTTGGTTTTGATATGTTTGACATAGTTTAGTGACGCCTTAAATGGGAAAACAATATGGATCTAGAACCAGTGATGATTCGATGAAAATCGAAGCGCACTCGGTGCCGGTGGTGGTTTGGGAAACCAATCACTACCAAAATGGTTATAAAACCTGTAATGTTTGATGAAAATTGAAAGGCACGCGGTGCCGGTGGTCGTTTGGAAAATCAAACGCTACCAAAATGATATTACATAATATATACATACAATATAATATACAGCGTGACAGATCATTTTAGTTTCGAAAGGAATGGACATTTATAACTTCAAGTCTCATACATCATAATTATGTCTAAAAAAAATGCATATAACAACGATAGGAATTCATTAACTCGGTAGCATACAAATAATGAACGTTGAAAATAATTGTGTAATTATTCAACAGCGTTGTTATTCACTCGTAAGTGTCATTTATTGAGAAATTCAACAACATATTGAAGCCTTGTCAGCAAGCCTGTCAGTGAGACAGTAGCTTCACAGTTCATATTTCATGGCAAAATAAAGACAAGTCTATGAAAAAGTGTGAGTGATGTGCCTGCCTACACATTTCAGATTAACTACATAAGATTAACCTGTGGGAGTAGTGAACGCACTATATTTTGTGCCACAAACTGTATAAAGGTAAATGATGAATATATAAAATACTAGTAAAGCCTTTAAAAGCGGCCCACAGAGGTGACTGAGTTTCTTGCGCTGCTTCTTCTCAGCACTGGCCCACTTACTGTTCCGAAGCAGTGGTAGATGAAACTTTATTTTTATTGTATTTTAATTAGATCAGCTGAGCTAGGATGCGCACCCTGATGGAATCTTTCCATGATTTTAGACAACAGACGTATGGGCTTATCATTCAAAGTTTATAAAAAGTTTATCATGGCGCGCATCCTAGGCCTACACTAAGGAAATTAAAATTGTAAGAAAAATAATTGACATATTAATTTGAGATACCTACCTATCTTGTGGGAAATTCGTAATGTAATAAGTGGACACACCTACTATTTATTAACTTATTTGAGGTCAAATAATAATGTGTTGTGATGCTTGAGTCTAATATTTTATTTGATAAATTGGCTATTTTGTCCAAAAATGGTTGAATATTAATTTGACCTTTTGATTTGTTTCAATCTAATTGAAAGGAAGATGTGTAACGTGTCAGGAAATTGAATAAGCAAAATATTTATGTGTAATTTGTAAGCTCATAGAAAGTACTTACTAATTAAGTATTACAGATCATTAATGGGCTATTGTCCAAAGATGGTTGAATATTTTGACCTTTTGACTTGTTTCAATTTAATTGAAAGGAAGATGAGTAACGTGTCAGGAAATTGAATAAGCAAAATATTTGTGTATAATTTGCAAGCTTATAGAAAGTACCTACTTACTAGTTATTACAAACCAATGTACCTTAATTTAGTAGTAGTATTAATTATAATATAGCTTGTCTCGAATCAAATAAAATAAGGAAGAGATGTGGTGTACTACTATACAAATAAAGAGTGTGCGCTATGGCAACACTGACTAGTACGGCGCGGTGGGGAGTCAGTCGTAGTCGGGCCGCCACACGGGACGGACGTCAGTGCTTGCACTAGCTTACACAGTGAACATATATCAGTGTTTTATTTAAGACACCACACATTTAATAAATAGAAAGAAAATTACCATACAAAAGTCACTCCCAGCGACCTATAAATATCACAAAGGTATCGTAACTCAACACCTGCATGTAGAGAGTATAACTAGGTTACAGGCGAACCACGCTGCGGAACCGACATCGGACTGTGGACACTTCTAGCGGTAAACCCACTTAACAATACAATATATTAACTAGCTTTGTCCATCGTCAGAGTAACGTCGTTCATTGACAAGAAAATACGTTTCACAACTCCGCATCTCATATCAACGAAGGCCAAATGATTGCATCTAAATGAAAAATTGTTTTATTACTCTCGATCATACATCACATTTCGTCATCAAGCTTAAGCACACAATGGAAATAGTATCCGTGACCACGTTCTTATGCGTATTACGAAGCGTCGATTAATAGGTCCATGACTCTGTAATCATAACAAACGATAAGAGCATATAATGGATTTAGTAATATGAATTGATATTCAAGAAGGTTTTACGGTTGTAAAGAAAACGATCTTTAAAATAGCAGCCATGAAATTTTTTGAAGAAGGTAATATGTTTTTAAAAATCGTGTTTTTATATTGTCTTTCACGCTAACGATTATTATCATTTTAATGTAACTTTTACATACTAAGTTTAGGAATTCTATATCTGAAACACATGTACTAAGAATTATTAATAAAGTTAAACGAGATAAATGAAATTAAAGACTTCCACTTCTACTGAAACACCATGCTGACTTTCAGAATACAACCAATTGAGAAACCAATGAAGCCACGATAGCCGAACGGTGAAGGGGTCGGACTGGCCGACTCGTGATCCGGGGAACGCGGGTTCAGTCCCCGCCGCCGCTCGACTATTGTGGTGAGCTCACTCGTGACACAAGCATATTTAGCTTAGTACGAGGGGCTAACGGGGGTATTAGTAATTTGTGTAATAACAAATTACTAATAATCTTTTTAAAAATAAAAAAACATAAAAAAAAAACAAAAAAACAAATTGTATTAGCAAAGACCCACTAATAAAGCCAGATTTCCTCCCACGCATAACAATCTTAAAAACTCAACAATCAATCATTCTCTATCACACGGGCAAACTGTGTCTGAGGTACCTCCATTCAAATTCAACAACTTTAATAATTACACATTTAAATGCGCTAGGGTTCATATCATTTGTAGGTATCTCAAATTATGTCACAAATGACGCATAGTTCGTGCCGTTTATGACCGCAGATGATATAATTAAGACACCGTAAACTCAATTCCGTGTCCGTATTGTCTCCGTGGTTCTCACACAAAGTGCCCGCTATTACGCGAAATTACTGCCACAAGAGTAACTGTCCTGCCCGCTTTTATACGGTCGACGTCCCAAGATCAAACCAGCCTTTAGCTGGATGAAAGCTATACTAAGATCTAGTCCACCTCAACCGTCTACTTTTTAATAAATATCCTACATTAAAAAGCTACGACTTTGATATTTAAAAAATAATTACTTAAATACCAACAATTTCCGGTCCTATAAACTGTTAATGTCACCAAAAATTGGTTTTAACTTTCTTTTTGCATTACATAAATGCCACTTTTATTACTTACAATATCTTATCGGTTGAACGGGTTTATGGAAATAATGGCATTACAATTTTATTTCATAATTAGTTGGAAAAGCTCAAGAACAATATACGACGTTTACGAACCAACCGACTTGTTCAGTACCGCTGTGCTTGTTTTTTTATTATTTAGAAAGTACTTCTAGGCAAGAATTAATATTTCCACTCAGCCCATTAAGCCTATAGATTTAATTGAAGATAACCAATCAAGAGATTATGGTTTTAACGTCGAGTTTGTTTAAAGCTATAATCAAACTATAAAATGATTGCAAAACTCATTTTTGAGACCAGTTTTTCAATTTATAAATTTTACAATCAGTTTCTTGTCCGTTTCGTCTAACGAGTGTTAACTGTAAAACAACTTAGCATGTTTCAGATCATTAACATTTTGACCAACATTTCAAGAGGCAATCGTGTGCATATTGACAGCATATTTGCATTTCGAATATTGAAACGAATACGTAATCGTTTAATTACACAATTTCCGATATAAATATCCATGCAACTAATTACACATGTTCTTTAATCCATTACATGTTTGAAGAAGGCCATGATACAACATAATCAGCTGGAACACCGGATATTTTATAATTAGGTAGTTACTTACGTTAATTTGAAATTGTACTTATATTTTTATGAATATGAGCTTTAAGCTCCATGAATGTGCCTTTAAATTTTAATAAGAATTTCTTAACTACAAGTTAAACATTAAATTATCCTATTTATCGAAAATCCTAATCAATTTCCTTATGCTTTACCGGGAAAATCCTCATGAATTTACTTACTAATGGGTGATTTTATAATCGACGCTATTCCTTCTTGAGCTTAATTTGGCAGCAGAAAACAGCAAAGAGTTACATTACATTATTTGTGCGTTAAGACCTGAGCTTTAGACTAGTCCAACCGGCAACGGCCAATCAGCACCACGTTGATAATTTGCGGGCGTTTCTCATACATCACCCGCGCAGTTGGCCGCGCTAACTCACGCAACGTGTGGCGGCTGCGAAGGCGCAGGAAGACAGCCTCATTGAAAGTATAAGCAGGCGGTTGCATCACACGACTGGACGCGGAAGATGCGCCCGGTATTCCAGTCCTATCCTGATCAGGTCTAACAACATTACACACAGTTTGCAAGAAACGCAAAAGGGCGAACGAGGTTACATACTAAGCTGAATTTACATTTTGAGATTGAATATTTTTATGGTTTTAAGAGCCATTTTACATTTTCGTGCGAATTTCTAAGATTTTGGAAGCATGAATTACTATCTTANTTATGTTAATTAGCAGTAAGCATATGATCTACTACAGGAACGTTTTCAAAGGACGGAAATGGAATTATTTGAATTAAGAAAATGCATGCCTAATCAGATGGAAGATGCAAATTAAAAGATCAATTAGAAGCAGTAACAATAAAAAATGAACAGCTACAAAGATGTTTAGACGAATTGAAAACAAATAAAGGTAATAATAATACGCAATTATCATATTCTAAGGTTCTGTCACAAAATCAATTGGAGGTAGTCGTTCCGGCACAACAAGGTGGAGCCATAAAACCAGCGATATTGCGTACGAAAGAAGTACAGTTGCAAAGTAAGGATGAATCCTCTAAGACGGCAACTTTAATAGAAAATAAAAATAAGGAAGGTAATCAAAACGAGTGGACTGAAGTAAAGTCAAGGAAAAATAGATATTCAAGGAATGAAGTAAAAAGAGGATGTACGAGTATGATTGAAATACAAGGCATGGAAAGGAAAAAGTTTTTACATGTGTGGCGTTTGAAAAAAGATACAACAACGGAACAATTAGAGAACCATGTAAGGAAAGTATGTGGGAATGAAATTTCGGTAAAAATTGAGAAATTAAAATCAAAAACTGAGAGAGATTATTCGTCATTTATGGTGGGCGTACCAGAGAGTGTCTATGAAAAATTATGCAAACCGGATGTATGGCCATTAAATGTCGAATATTGTGAGTGGGTTTGGTTTCGGAGATCTGACAACAAACCGAGAGAGAAGGAAAAAACCACTTGAAATCATTTATCAAAACGTAAGGGGACTTCGGACGAAGCTGGAAGAGTTTTATGCAAATGTAGCATCGTCAAGTGCAGACTTCTTTGTAATCACGGAAACTGGCTGCAACGAGTCAATAATGGATGCAGAATTAATCCCTAGTGGATATCAGATAATACGCTGTGATCGTACAGATGGGCGGAAACAGGGCGGCGCGCTTTTCGTGGCCACACCGCGGTTCGAGCTACGAAGAGTATCGAATTCGATACCCAAGGACGTCAGTTTAATAGATCGTATGTTTGAACTCGCTTGCGCGGCGGTGTACTTGCGCGAGCGTTTTTTGTTTTTGTCGTGTGTTGTTTACATTCCGCCGCGATGTAGTGATGATGAATGTATGTTACTTTATAGAATAATAGAACAATTGTGTACGAAGTATAACAAAGTATTAGTTATAGGTGATTTTAATTAAATATTCGTGTTCTATAAATATAAGGAATTATTTTGAGTATTTTTTAAGTTATTGTGGATTCGAACAGAGTAACATGGTGGCCAATTGTAATGATCGTCAGCTGGATTTGGTCTTGAGTTCGGTGAGTGGGGGTCTAAATGTTAGTGTTTGTGCCGCAACTGAGTCGCTGGTGCCAGTGGTGGACGTGTATCATCCACCACTTGAAATATCTGTAGTGTTGACGAGTCATGGAGCGCACAGTGCTGACACCCATTATTCCAATTCGGACGTCGGTCCCATGGAGCAGGAAAAATGGAACTTTAAGAAAGGTAATTATCCATTATTATATTCGTCTATTGCGAGTATTGACTGGACACATCTATACGATTTAAGTAACGTAGAAACAAGTTTAAAGTTTTTTTATGACAATCTTAGGGATGTTTTTAATAGGTGTGTACCATTAAAGAAGCAATGTAATAAAAAAACAAAGTATGTGTATCCAGAGTGGTATAATCCTGAATTAATTAATTGTATAAAACATAAAGCTAGTAAGCTATAAACTGATTATGAGGCGTTCGCGTATTGCAGATCAAAAGTTAAAAAGATGGTAAGAATGGCTCATGACCAACATAGGGATTGGGTACAACAGCATTTAGCCAGGGACCCCAGATCTTTTTGGAACTATATTAAATCGAAGAGACGTAATAATTGCTCACGTAATATATTAAAAGATGGGGAGGTATTGACAGAGAGACAAATTGTTGATGAGTTTGCTAAGTATTTTCATTCAGTGTACAATACGGAGAAAGCTCAACTGAATGTAAGCGCAGCTATAGTGGAAGCGGGAGTTTCGAATGGGTCAGCACGAGTGCATGTGGGGACATTGCAACCGAGCGAGGTACTGCAAGCGCTCACTAAGCTCAAGCCGAAGCGATCGGCGGGCCCTGATGGAATCCCAGCTTTCTTGTTCAGGGACTGTAGGTTCATCTTGGCAGAGCCGCTTTCGCACATATATAATCAGTGCTTGGAGTCAGCAGTCTTTCCTGATATGTGGAAAGTTACCAGAGTGATACCAGTTCCGAAGGCGAGCTCGGGTAGTGATAGGGTGGAAGGATATAGGCCGGTGGCGGTACTATCTACTCCAGCCAAGGTGTTAGAGTCAGCAGTTCAGAACAGCATAGTTCAGCAAGTGAGTACACAGTGGTCTGAATCGCAACATGGTTTTCTGCCGGGCCGGAGCACCGCGAGCAATCTCATGAATTATACCGCTCAACTGGTACCAATAATAGATAGCGGAGGACAGGTGGACGCCGCGTATTTTGATTTCCGCAAAGCATTTGACGTGGTGGATAATGATGTCCTGTTAAGAAAGCTAGCAGGCTTTGGCTTCACGCCCCATTTATTGCATTTTTTTAGTAGCTACTTGAGAGATAGGCAACAGTATGTAGAGTACGCCGGCTACAGGTCTGATCCATATTTCGTCCTATCAGGGGTGAGTCAGGGCAGCAACCTTGGGCCTCTTCAGTTTTTAATAACGATTAATGACCTACCGGAGGTGGTAGAGAACGCGCAATGCCTGTTGTTTGCGGATGACCTGAAACTGTTTCTCCCAATCAATAGCAAGGAGGACTGTGCGTTATTGCAAAAAGATATAGACAATGTAGTGTTATGGAGTGAACAAAACAAATTACAATTTAATGCTGACAAATGTGTTACAATATCATATACAAGGAAACATAACCCTATGTTATACAATTATAATATAAACGGAGTAACATTAAGGAGGGTAACAGAAGTAAGGGATTTGGGAGTAGGTTTTACAGCTGAGCTAAAGTTTAAAAACCACATAGTAAATATCTGTAAAAAAGCGTACAAAAATTTGGGATTTATACTGCGAAGGGTTAACAATTTTACAAATATAAAGGCAATAATGGCACTTTATAATGCACTAGTCAGAAGCCATCTCGAGTGTAATGCAATGATCTGGGCTCCAAGTGAGAGTAAATATAGTCTCATGTTGGAACGCATACAAAATAAATTTTTAAGATATTTATATTTGAAATTATATGGGATATATCCGTTTTATCCATTAATGTATCCAAGTCTATTTGTCATGGGTATGGTAGGGTACAACGAATTGAGGGTTAGGGATAGGGAGGGATTTTGCATTCGTATTCTACATCTTCAAGCTACTGCGAGGCAAGGTCTGGAATGCAGAGATACTGGGGAGGGTGAGTCTTTGCGTTCCGGAGAGGTATGTGGAGCGGCGGCGCCGGCCGCCGCTGCTGGTGGAGCCGCGGGCGCGCACAGCAATATATTTTACATATTATACCTATTCGTGTTTCATTATTTGTATCCAGGGTCCGATGATGGAGCTGTAAGGGGGCAGATTTATTTTTCACTATGTGACTGTCTTTATTTTGTACTTAATATATATTTTACATATTATACCTATTCGTGTTTCATTATGAATCGAAATATAAAAGACTTATTAAACTCTATTAAAAATTTAAATTAATTTATCAAGTTTGAATACCTCATTCTACCTTAAAATTAATAACTTAAATCAAGTCTTAATACGGTCACGGCTCAAGATTTTTTTGTCCATTTCAGCGTTCTTTTTACTCTTTTGACGTTGCGTTGACAGCTTTTACCTAAATTCGCGCGGAATATTTTTGTGAAATGGCTCTTAATTGAGAATATCCCTGCACTCTATGTCCGCAGACCTGCTCGGACCGGTATCAATAACTAGAAAAATGTTTTGACATGACTGAGTAGTTGTTAGTACCAAGTTATCTTAAATAGGAGACAGACTAACAGATGTATAACTCTTTGTATATTTTGAAGTATTATTGCTCTACCTTGGACGTGAGCGATATTGTCTAGGTTAAAGATTCTGATAATGATCATACTAACTGTAAACGTTATTTGTTTCACAGATTTAGCTTTACTGCTCATTTTAAACCGAGATCTAAATGTAAACTAGCCTGAAGATCAACGCCACGTCTAGCAATACAAGTTATATTCAGCACCACAGTCGTTCACTGTCAGGGATCGCTAAATCTGCGGACTTCTTATGGCGAAAACCGCTATAAATAGTGGCCACATCATCATAATATCACGTCCGAGGGCTCTAACATGCTGCAAATAAGCCACATCCTGCATGAAAGTAAGAAAATATCATGGAAATTAACGTCGGATGGCCAAGGAAAAGTGGACTGGTTAATGGTGAGTGACACGATCTGTGATTAGCTCGATGGACAGGAGTTTCAACATTCCTGCACAAGAAGTATCAGTAATCGATCAGATTATAGATAACGTTAACGATTGAATGTTTAATGTAGGCAGATAATGAAACGTCCGTTGCTCTTTGAATCTTCTGATTTTAAAGAAAGAAGTTTGTCAAGAAATCAATAAACTAGCCTCAGTTTACTGATTTCTTGACAAACTGAATGATTACTCTATGCACTTTGCAAATAAAAATAGAATACCTTGACTTGGACTGTTATCCTGTTCCCATGTAAAATTGGACCAATACAAAACATCGTAAATTATACAACGCATTGACCCTGTAACTTTCTCGAGCAGCGTGTAAAGTATAAGTTTATATGGGCTGCTTGCGACTGTGGCATCTCGTAACTCTTTTTTCAACAATGAGCCAGGAGTCCGACAAGTTTGCAACATTCATAAAAGGAAAGCAGGGGTTTGTCACGAATTGGCTCGTATACAATCGGTTCAACTGGCTGTGGTCCCGAACGCAACACAAAAGATACAAACTTTAGGAGGTAACCTTTAAATCCCGCTAAATTGAAATCGACTCTTACAGTTGGGTACTAAACGTTACTTGTTGAGTTTTAATTCTTATCCAAAATACGAACCTACCATCAGCGTTGTTGTAGTGAACACGTCTAAATTGATTTACAAAAAGCTGCAGTAAGAAAATCCTGACTCACGAATTTATTACCAAGTGGCAAACGCCCCTTATCAAATTTCGTTAATGGATTCTAAGTTGGTATAGCTTAACGTACACAGAAAGCAATATTTTGTACCATTATGACGCTATTAGCTTGACAGACAATAAACTTCAATAAAGGGTGTGCCCTCTTGGGTGTCGCCTCTGCTTTGCTAGTAAATAGTAGAGTCGTTGTGCCACCATACTCAGAGGTATTTATTTAACCTTATAACTTAGGTAAATTTATGGCAGGCAGGGTACTCGTAACTGCACAATAAGCCTATGCAGTATTCAAAACACATTCTTATCAACCGTTACTCCAGCTTTTAGCAAAATCCACAACAGCGGCTGACATTTATTCATAGCAACTGTACTTCTGTATTCCGCAATAAAATAAAAGCTATACAATAATGTAGTTTTAATGGCAGAGTGCTGTTTAAATGGCGTCTGGCATCATAAGATAAAATTCGTTCACACGGAAATAATAATAAGACAAGCTAAGTTACACTCTCCGCACACTTGTGTGCATAGAAAAATACCACCATATCTTACTTTACGACCGTTAACATAGTTATTTTTATTAACTGAGAAACTGATCTGTAAATGCAAACATTCGAGGCGTTTGTTCCGTCTCGATATACGTATGTACGTACTCGTATGTATACTAGAATTTGCATGTTAGACCACTATCGCCCTCTATCTCTGTTGGTAATTAGAAACTTACGAGATGGTAACGGTACGCAATTTGTAGCGCTGCCATACTAATATAAAAGCTTCGACTTTGCCTGCCGTCCGTGACGCATTCGAATGAAATAGCCTGCATTTGGAAGTGACGGCAAAGGCAGTTGTTTTAATAACAAGCTCTGTGGGCAATTTTTCACCGTGACTCACTAACTCACGTAGACGGTTAGGTCGGTAATAGAAATTCGATACCAGTGTTGTTAGATAAAGTAATAGTGGAACAGAATTAAAATTAACTTTACGCGTAGGTCATTGCCCTCGCTATACTTTAACCGGCTTATGTTAGGGAAGCGAGATCAGCAAAATCCAAGTCATGCTAGAAGCGTGCCAATAGCTTTGTTGTTATTACGGGGATGACAATGACTGTTGGTGATTGATGCGACAGTAATCTCCCGCACACCGTTGGTCGTATCGGATACGAGTCCGATTGGCTCAGACCACACGGGGCCGGCAGCGGGCAGCCCGCAGCGCGGTTCACTGTGCTCCTAATCACTGTAAGGCCCTTTTCACACGTCCCGGTTGCCGGCTAACCGGCGCCGGGTATCCGGTGGTGAAGTGTATGGGCATGGTACGTAGCTTTCACATGTTCCGGCGTAATTAATCCGGCATGCCCATACATTCACGACCGGGTACCCGGCGCCGGATAGCCGGCAACCGGAACGTGTGAAAAGGCACTAATTGAACGTTATCTCGCGTCTATTCCGGGATGCCTGCTCTTAACTGCTTTAAAATTCATTAACTATTACTTACCACCACTGCTGTCTGGTATCGCATAAAGGATTCCACATAATGCACCGGCAGTCGTTTCGTTGTGTTCCGCAGTATCACCTTGGCGCTCGTTGGATTCAGTTTGAGCTGGCTCGAACAGAGCTAAATCCAAACCATCCATATCACTCCGCGCTGAGATACCATCTTCCTCCACCACTTTCTCACAAAAATGTTCTGGTGAATCAACATTTTTAGGACTACGACTGCACACGCCGTCACTAAGTGGGTCACAGCAACAGGTGTCAGAGAATGGCTCGAAGTCGCGGCAATCGAATTCACAACGTTCAAAACTGTCGCAGGTGCACGAAGACAGCGCATCTGAATCAGATCCTTCAACAAGATATAGATTGTTTGGCACGACTTCTTTATTCAGATTATCCGTTTTAGTTGAGATGTAGAACACACTAGATGTGTATGGCACTTTTTGAACTTGTAAGGTGACGTTGTCACTAATTTTGTCGCTGGCAAAGTTTTCATCTGGCAGACTGTCTCCAATTTGAGGGCGGCAGTCCTCGTAGCGTGCGAAGCTAGAAGTGTCTGTGAGATTTGATGAGCGGTCAACGGAGTAAGCATCAGCGTAAGGATCTGTCGCATCATTCTGTAGAGCGGGTAGTCTGTATGGAGTTTGTTGAGATCTAGCCCCGAGGAAGATGGTGGTGTAGGGGCAGGTGTGGTGCGGGCGCGAGCGGTCGGCGCGACGAGGGTAGCTGGCGGCCAGCGGGTCGCCCGGCAGCCCCTCCGCGTTGATGTACGCCTCGCTCGTCGAGAGCACGTTGTATCGCCAATCCGGCATTGCCAAGCACCATCACTACACCGTATCTCCAGTAGAAACTATTGTCCTCATCACGCGTTCACTCAGCAATACAAATTGCATAACACTAATTATGTCACATGTTTACTGTCCGATTTTGAAGCAAAGCTATGAAAATGATTTCACTACGGCCGACGTCCGCACCTGTTCAAATATTATAAAATATTAAGGCTATGTAGATGCTGAGTTATTAATTTTTAAAAACATGCACCTGCTACACCTAATTTGCCTTCTACGTATTATGCATGTATTGAATATGTAATGATAGTTGTTTTGTTTAAATTGTATCATGCCGCCAGCGTAGAATGTAAACATAGTGCATGGCTTGAAGTGGTGCAAATAATATTTATGTGGGTCAGCACTGATAGCTTTATGAAGTATCTACTTAATAAGTGGTTATTAAACATAAATACTGCCCGTACTTATTTAAGCCCTGCAGATAATGTTTGTTTATAATGAGCTTTTTATTAAGGCGAGATTGCACGATGTATTAATGGTAGGTAAGTAGACTGATAACGAGTGATTTAATATTATGACTAGTCACATTAGTGCGGCGGGCGCGTTAACTGGTCCGAGGTTACGGTACTGCGCCGGCGCAGCCCGGGTGCCCGTTACATCCGAATTCTGATCAAGTTCTTAGCCTCATCTCACCTTAATTGAAATTAAAGCAACTGTCCAAGCATAAATGTATGTCAATCAATATACACTTTACGTCGAGAAAAAAAAACTTTGACGTTAATTTCATAAGAGCTAAAGCGCTGCTAACAAATCAAAAGCAAAAATTAAATGGTTCTGCAACGAGGCAAAATGTGTGACTTAAAATTACTTAATACTTAATTTAGAAATGAGCTCCATAAAAACAGATAGAGATAAATGTACGCAAGTATGAATGAAAGGTCAATGGCTGGCAGTCGTGCTTAGGAAACGCAATTATTTTGAGGAACTTTGAAATCGTTGTAGCGGCTTTATAATGACAGAAGGCTGGGTCGTGACCGCGGTAAATACGGTGCATAATAATACAGGAAAAGTTTTTCACACTCTTCACAGCAATCCACAAAAATTATGGCGTCAAATATGTCAGAGTTTGCGAACGAACGTTTTGAAACACACACAAGCAAACTATAAGCACTGAGTCACGTAAACGCGTAATTTGCAAAGCTTATACACCTAAAAGCCACTTATAGTTTTTCATAGAGTTCGAATGCTGAATTTGAATCGTGAGAGTTGAAATTGTGGTAATTTAACGGGTCGTAGGCACGTGCTACAATCCCGCAGGCCGTTGATGCGACAAAACATCGGCCAAATCACGGTCATCGAACTAAATATGCGAGTCAGAATGCGTTTTATAGGAAACACCACATCTATGATTAAGCTAGTCGTGGACAAAACCCGGGAAATACAACTTATCAAGGAAATAATCCACGCTCTTGATTGTTCGAAACGCTACAGTCTTTTGGACTTTTAAATTGTAAGTAATTTTCTTAATATATGGTATTTATTTTTAAACTTCAATCGTTATTGGGGCTAACGCGACGCGCAGCAGTATGCGTTCCGTTTAATGTATGATGAGATAAGTTTGGTTACCGTTAGGGAAATTTTGTTTGCTTTCCCCAGAAGCGTTCGGTAAATCGGTACTGATGTTAAAAGCAAAATATGTAACTGGTTCATTTTTATCAAGGTAGCAAACAAGTTTATAAATAAATCATTAACTTAATTGGATTTGTTAATCGATGACATTTCGTTGATACATTTAGAGTATTTATAAATGCAGCAACGAATAGCGTAAGAATTAAATTTACATCTGTAATAGGTAATTATTGCAAAATATATTATGAATTATGAGTAGGTATTGTTGCAATATCTAAATATTATTCCATATTCATTATATGAAATCAACGACAAATAAAGTGTCTATTTCCCATACGATATCATTATAATAGCTTAGATAAACTTTGAAATACCTAATTGCAATTAGAGGACTGAAATTTTATGGATGGTTACCAGCCCAATGCCCAACTATTGTAAGACATACTCACTCGTCGTATATTATGACTACAGTTTTTGTTCCAAAGAAATTTGAAATTGTGGAAACTCGTAAACGTGACGTAGAGCGGCGAGAGAAGGAGCAAATATTTACAAACACCGCCCAAGCACATGCGTAACTGTGGCAATGAAAGCCAGTCCGAGCCTCGACAATGAGACTGTGAAATGCTCCCTAGAGCTTAGCGGTCAGTTGTCAGCACGGTAACTATACGGCAAGCAGCGGTGAGAGCCGCCTATTGAGGATTGTAAACCAGGTTTATTGTGACCCAACTCCTAGCAACGATGATCGATATTTTACGATGTTGCATTAGCGGTGCATACCCCACACGCAAGCCATTACCGTCAAAGTATCCTCGGCACAGGCCAACGTACTGCCAATAACGACCTTTAAATTAATGGACTTAGAAACCCTTACCGGTTATTGTAAATATTTCGTAATAACAGCAATTAAATATATTAAGTAACTTTCATCTAATTACTAATGATATCTGTCAGCAACAATTGCTCGTATTTATCTAATGAACGACTGTCCGTTTCTTATTTTTTATTTGTTTAATAGTCACGCATTGAAATAATGAATTAAGGTAGGTATACAATTTATAAAAACGGGGGAAAAACACGCTTAAGTCTTACCAACTGGATAAATTATGTTTGTTTCAGACTAATTTATAGAATAATATTTGAAAACTGAACTTTTATCAGTATTATACCAGTTGATTAAATAGATAGTGTCACTTTTTCACTTTGCGCTAAGCTTTAAGCTCTCGCATGAAAACTTTCGTGTAATCGATCGACACATGAATATCAAGTATCGGACGCCGGCCGCAGTAAACACAATAAATAAACAATCGTAAAACCTTTGTATGACTGTGCCACTATAGTGTGCAAACACTGAACTTGACACTCACAAATCGCGTCACTTTTCGAAGTGCTCTGTCACCCGAGTTGACAGTTACATTCGAATTCGATTGTTCGTTTAGAAGTCCCGCGGTATAGGTGCGCGTAGCGCCGCGCTCCGACCAACTGTGAGCGTAAAGCGCGAGGGGCGACCGGCTCGCTGCGTATACACCGCACCAACATGTAGAGTTGTAGAGTCTCATCTGTTCGCAGCTGGTAGCCATACACATCGCGCTGACTGGACCGTTAGCACTTGCTGACACCTTTATATCACAATTCTATTTCATTATTCATGAGGGCCTCGCCTTAAACAAACGACAAAGGTGTCCAGCTGAAATCACTGAGACTGTGAGCCATTAAAAGTTAAACTAGATCGACAGATGCCTGTCGTCACTGCCACGGAACTAGTAGATACACAAATAGAACATGGGGGCCAATTCACCTATTATATTTCCCCCCGTTCACTTTTTTAATTCTTTTTATTCAATTGTCACACTGATTTAGGGTGTGATTAACGATATGATAGGGATTCACGATTTTGTTACAACTTTTATGACAACAACCCTCTAAAAAGCAGGGGATTAGCCACTTTCGTTCGCATATAAATGCGTATAAATTACGTAACAAATACAATTTAAATTGCAAAATTGACGCACCCTAAATATAAGTCACTACAACTGGCAACAAATACTTAAATAAGGTTAAGTTTTATACAATTAAGAAACTCTATAAAAGTCAAATGTAGACTTTGCAGAATTTTCAAGGGCGTTTCTCAAGGGTTGGAGTAAAGCCGATTAAATTACATTTAGTTCGTATAACTATGTGCATTATGTAACATCGTAGACATTTAAAAGACATGAAGCCTTGCCCACTTTGCCTACTATTTGTGAACGTTATCGTTTGAGCAGCCACAGATAGAGACCGGTTCGTGTGGATATTTGCATTCTGCGGGACCCGCGGTCACTCGGCGTCCCGCGTAGGCGACGGTAAACATTGGGACACGAAAATATGTAATAGATAACATAAAAGAAATATTGAGAAATCAACCAGTTACGTAAACTGGCCAGTGGGTTTTCGTAGCAGTTTTTAATTATAATGTTTGGATCGCACCGACTTTTCGCAATACGCAATGCTTTACGATGTTTTACGAACAATAAAATAAGTAGTGAAACAAAGCCATAAAAACTTAGCGCAACGTAATAATTTATAGTAATCATGTTAAAGTAAATAATTACAGGTTTACTCTACACGTCGCATGCTCGGATGCAACTATGTCATACATTAGGACAACAGTAAATTAGTCATCGATGCTATAAAGTACATTTCTTTGTTCGGTTTTAACGACCTACTGATGGATGTCGGCATTAAAAAATGTTAAGCTCAAAACCATAAAACATACTCCAGCTACTACTGAAAACTATTCTCGTTAAAACGCTTATCTCTTCATAATATTTAGGAGGGTACATTTTTACCGGTAGTAGATTTTTATTTCTACACTTGACTTGTTTTCAGTGCTATGTATAAACTAAAATATATATTTGTTTTATGCAACTTCATGTAAATGAAAAACATTCACATTTTAATTTAAGTAGCTGCGCAATACATACCTACTACATAAAATTTATTTTATCGCTCCAATGTGGTCCAAAGTTACACGACATACGTTTTTAGTTCAATTGTGCAAGAATATGTATTGTATTGCCTAATAGAGCTTAATTGAAAAGTCAGAGGGCTCTTATCGTGGTCCCATTACAAGCCTGTAAGACCATAACGATTACTGACACGTCGTGCCATTAAGGTTTAAACGCTCGACGCACTATATTTACCAATTGTAAAATTACTATTACATACTCACATTACATCGGATTGCACAACGCTTCTTGAGGACACACGGGAAAAGGCAGAATATTAAAGCTAATTAAAGTTCGACTTTAGCGAAACTTTCAATTTGCAACGATTTTTGGGGTCCTCGATTTACCTGCACTAATATTATAATCTCAATAATTAGTATAATTACTTTTTAATAAACATAGGTAGAGTTGATAAAGAACCTTATTTACTTAATATAGAAAAATACAATATCACAATAACGCATTCCGTTCAAGATGGTATCAATAGCGAGCATTGGATAAGGCAACACACGAACGAAGGCCAACGATGATTTTGATTTGTTATCCAGTCGTCAAACCACAAGTTTAGCAAAGAGATATTGCAACTAGAATAAAGACATCATCCTATTCAAAAGCACCTATTTTTATCCTGAAACTAGCTCATTGGGATGACTAGTTTTCACACGGGAAGTTATTGTTTGTTGACATCTCGACCCCTAGCAGATGCGTAACCAGTCGCCATATTAGTCAATATTGGTGTTCCAAAAACAAATATAACCTCAAATGTTTACGTTGTCTTCAGCCGCTTCCAATGGGAGATAATAATAGAATGTCATTCATGAACTGTACCTCTAGTACGAAAAACTTTCGAGTTCGTTTCGTTGCGTATTCAAAGTGTCATCGAAAAATTTTGTATGAAAAATTAAACAGCGCCCCCTATATTATAGCCGCCCTAGGGGGCGCTGTTTAATTTTTCATACAAAATTTTTCGATGACACTTTGAATACGCAACGAAACGAACTCGAAAGTTTTTCGTACTAGAGGTACTGTTCGAAAGGTAGCAAGGACGACTTTTTGTTTGAACGTTTTTATTCGATTAACGAACCAGTCTCGATAACGTCCGTATCCGTAATAACAGGCTAGTGTCCTTTTAATAAATAAGATGCAAATATTAAGCGAAGATTAAAATTGGTTATTAATTAAGATGATAATTGTATTATTAATTAAGGAATTGTGAACAACAACGAATTTGAATAATCAAATTTTGATCAGTGCTACATAAAAATTAACATTATTTAATTAACGTCTACTAATTTTGTAAAAAAAAATTGTCCATCTGAATGTTTATTTATTCTTGTTGTAAGTATGCACCTTTCTCAATATTATTTGCACGATAGAAATATACAGTTACTGTAGAGTCTGGGGATTCATGTAATACATTTGAGGACATCTTGCTCGCATCGGCCACCTTTGATCTCTACGCTCGCACATCGCACTCCGTGGAGCATAAAGCCCGGAACATCGCTAACATGTTCCCATCTTTGAATATGTTCACACAAAATATTCTAAACGCTATTACAATTTCATAGGGTAGGCTCACATTTACATTGAAACATTTTACATGATTTGGCGGTGTTAGGTAGATAGAGCATTGATACGGTAAATTATTTAGTTAACAATTTTTTTTCAGAGCTTTTGGAGCTTTTTGTAAACATGGATATCTTGGACTTCAAGAGAATTGTCTTTTTGTCAACCAACAGACTTGGTCTCTCGATAACAGTAAGCTTAATAACGCCTTACAGGAGTAGAATGTCTTTACTCATAATCCATATAACTTCACACTTTTACTGACTCAAAACTTGTAGCACTCCCGAACTGTTAATAACATCTGCGGTTTAGTCATAATTATGTCATCAAGTCTTAGTCACATTGGCGATTGTATTGAAGAATGATGAGTAGATAGTATTTGTTTACGAGAAAAAAGCCAAAGTTAATCGATAACGACTGGATTTTACAAAAAAAATAGGAAAGAAATTGCTATTTTAAAACTACTAAACTTGATCGTCTTGGTGAAGCCAAAATCACTAAAGCCTTACTTAATTAATAAAGTAACATTCCTCTAAAGTAACATTCGTGACAGTTTCAGTTGGTGGTAGCTTCGCTATATTTTTTGTAAGTAATTACTTCGCTACAATCATGAAATTGCAAATGACACTCTGTCTACGGTTAAAAGAGACCCTACCTACAGAAGGACAGACAGTTCCGAATCCGAAGAGCGAGATCTATCTTGAATATTTTTTAACTTATTATGAACATTGAACGAATAATCTCGAGCATTATTTCAGATGATACGATTAAATAGAATGTGTCATAGACAAAAAAAAAATTGCGTATAGAAATGGTCTATTGTGTCGAATCTCCCCGCACATTCCTCTAAAGCATAGCACCTACATAATGACGGGGTTCCGCAAGTTCTGTCGCCATTGATGCCGGGTTGTGGGTGTCGGCTCCTCACCCTGCAGCAATTAGCACGAACAATGACACCCACCATCCACATCCACTCATACGCTAGATGAGCTAGGGCTGGCTGCTTTGTACGGCGTTTCTTAATTGTCTAACTTAACGCTCACACAGAACCGTTAATAAATAAATAGTAGGTAAATAATTAAAGCACGAAACTAATAAAAACAAAAATTACTGAAAAATAATCCTCAAAACTTTCAAAATTATTTAAATACCAACTTAATTAAAGAAGTAACATTTAAAACTAATCATTAAGTTAGTCTACAGTAATGTTTAAATTTTTTGTGATTAAATTTTTTTTTATGTATAGCTGTAACACAACCCTAACTGAATGTTGTTGACCCTAAAAATTGCAGATGACAAATCATAAAAAATCATGATTGGTTGGTTCATACTGTTCGCGCTTATAGCGTTTATGTATCTACGGTCGGAAATGTGGCCAACAGATGCCGAAACTGCCAAAGAGTTTAATTTTTGACCCAGATTAGGTATTTGTTTGTAAAAAACGAGCACCTAGCAATCAACAAAATTATTGGCGTTCAATTATGAGCATTAATGATATCGAGCTCGTAAAAAGAAGTTTAAACAAATAACAAAATTGGTTAATCAAAATTTAACATTTATCATATTGTGCAACCTACCTAAAAACACGACGAACCAGTTTAGTTTATTCAAGTGTGAATAGATAAGCATTTTTCTGTTTTTTTTACATTCCAGCTTTTACTAAAAGAAAGAAATTATTATAATCAACAAATATTTAATAAAACATATTATTAAAATTAAATAATAACATAGTCGTTTTTGTCAAAAATTCAAAGCGACATCTATTGCATAATGGACGCAGCACCTAGCGCCATCTCGTAGTATATAAATTTACTTTATTGTACAGACTCACGAAACGCAAGTAGTTGATTCAAGTAATACATACTAGATGGCAACATACCTAAAAACCCTATTACAATATTCGTTTTCGTTTTAAAAAGAAATTC